TTTTTTTACCGACAGTACCATGCATGTTAAAGCAATTTCAATATGTCTCTACCATATTTCAACCAAGATCTTCTCTGAAAGGGTAGAAAAAAAAGGAAAAACAAGAAACACTCAAGAAACACTCAAGAGAAACACTCAAGGAACACTCAAGAAACACTCGAGAAAAACACTCAAGAAACATTCAGAGAACATTCATGAAACACTCTCTGTGGAGAGTATGTCTGCAAGCCCATGCATGCATGATCACACAGAGGGTGTTTCTTGAATGTTCTCTGAATTGTCAGCCGACTGACTCTCCACTTGTGATGAATTGTATTCACTCTCTGCAAAAAGACAAGGGCTATCTTGCCGACTGGCGTTATACAATTTCAGAGCCCGATTATTCTCAAGCAGATATATATACGAGACACGTCTGCAACAGTCAGTTTAAGACTAGTCACCAACAACAGTCAGTTTAAGGCTAGTCACCAACAGTCACCAACAGTCAGCAAAAGTCAGCAAAAGTCAGCAAAAGTCAGTGTAAGGCTAGTCCCTAACAGTCAGCAAACAGCAAAAGTCAGCAAAAGTCAGCAAACGACTGTTGCTGACTGCTGCTGACTGTTGGGTTGAGTGTTGGGGTGAGTGTTGGGTTGAGTGTTGGGTTGAGCGTTGCGGTGAGTGTCGGGTTGAGCGTTGCGGTGAGTGTCGGGTTATATAAGAGACACAGCTACAACAGTTTGTTTAAGGCGACTCAGCAACAGTCAGCAACAGTCAGCAACAGTCAGCAACAGTCAGCAACAGTCTTTTGCTGACTTTTGCTGACTTTTGCTGACTGTTGGGGACTAGCCTTACACTGACTTTTGCTGACTTTTGCTGACTTTTGCTGACTGTTGGTGACTAGCCTTAAACTGTTGCTGACTGCGCTGAGTGTTGGGTGGTGAGTGTTCTGAGGACGAACATGTTGAGTGATACAAAAGCTGACCAGTTTGTTGCAGATTGTTCTCAGGGAGATCATGACCTTTCTGTCTGTCTGTTGGTGGCTGCCGCAGCAACAGTCGGCAATGGTTGCTGATTCGCCTCAGCGACAGTTGCTGGCTTGCCTCACTTCAGAGAGTTCAGTCAGAGTGTGTCTTTTTTTTTTTTTTTTT